CTTCTTAAACTAAGCTTCAGTCCTTAATTCATTTCCAACAAGCTCTAAAAGTACTGGTCCTTAGGATTTTTAAAATGTACAGGACTTTGGAAAAATAGTACCACTTTTCTTTTAAAAATAAAATTCATATTTGTTTTGGTACTACCTCGTCCTAAGTAGAAATTAGAACTATAGGGAATGAAAAATGATAGTTTTATTTTGGGCCTTGAGAACCCAATAGGAATAATTTACCTTTAGTACATAGTTTTCTTTTCTTTTTAGGCCACTCTTTTAGGCTTAGCCAAATTTAAACAGTTATGGTTCTCAAACCAAACGAAACTGATTTTCAAATTGGAACAGTTTCAATTCATTGGTAATTGGTAAAAGATTCCTTCCACTTTTCAACTTCTTGGAAGTTGAAACTGTTTTACTCTCACCGTTCCATCTACCCAATTAATGGAACCCGTGAACCTCCCCTCTCTCTACCTCCTCCCTTATTTAAATCAATATATCTCAATCCATTCCTATCACAAACAGCTCTTTCAATATGAAAAATCTTCAAACTCACTGTCTAAGAAACACACCAAGAAAAATATCCTCAATGGAGAAATTTTTCTTTCTCACCCTCATAGACGGCAATGGATGAAGCCTATTGAGAAGAAAAGACTTTCAAGGTCTATGGTGAGAATCTCGGCAGTAGAGAAGGTCTATGGTGAAAATCTCGTATTTTTCAGGATTACACCATACACCTTCTCTGGAACAACACTCTCTCTATCTTCCTTCTTATTTTGAGAGATGTGTTGCTTCCAAGATCTTAAATATCCACTTTGGATATTAAAGATCTATCAAACGCAATGCCAACCGCTCCGCCAAGCAGAATCTTCTGAAGCTGAAAACGGTCAATGGCGGAAGAGATCACAAAATCTCAAGACAAGACTTGGTTTAGGAATTATTGTAATTTGAATTGTATTTGTTTAAGAGTTTTTGTCAACAAGCTGTATATTATGAGAAACTAAAAGAAAGTTACAAAATCAGTTCTCAGTACAGCGACCGGAACTCTTAAACACTTGTTTGTCATCATACTTGGTTTAGGAATTATTGTAATTTGAATTGTATTTGTTTAAGAGTTTTTGTCAACAAGCTGTATATTATGAGAAACTAAAAGAATGTTACAAAATCAGTTCTCAGTACAGCGACCGGAACTCTTAAACACTTGTTTCTCATCATCAAAAAGGGGGAAATTGTTGGGAAAAATATCATAGATTTTGATGATGATGTATTTAGAATGTAATAAGGACTTTAGGTCTCCCCAGATATTCAATGTAATTTTTCCTTTTAGAAATATTGTTAAACCAAAGTTCTTGAGATTTCCAATAAAGTTGTGATATTTCTTTAAACGGTTTGATGCCTGAAGACTTAATCAAATTCAGAAATTTGGAAATTGGATATCTTGATCGGAAATGTCAGAGACAAGTAAGAATTTCTCAAAGCAGACAGAAATCCTTCTATCCGGAATATTACATGAGAACCGGATGTCTCGTTACAACCCGCTGAAGGCTAAGTCGGAAGACTAACGCGGATTTCTTTCTCACCTGGAAGACTGAGTATGACTCTTCCAGATTTGTCAGCTAAGAACCGGATGCCTCAAGGAAGACCGGAATTCTCAAAAAGCGGACAAGTGAGAAAAGACTTAGAAAATTATCTAAGTCTTGAATGAAGAAGTTATACCGTTGGTAAGGAAAAACTCAATCTCTTGATTTTCAACGGCTAGATTGAAGATAATTATGCTGATTCAAGAACAAATGACTCGAAGACAAAGTCTGGACATCTAAAAATTGAAGAACCTGTCCAGAATTCCTAAACAAGCACTAGAAGACAAACAGAGTAAAGTGCTACAGTTCAGAATTCTTGAACAACAACTAGAAGACGGATTCTATGGAAAAAGGAATCCCTCCCTTTACAATTGGGTATGTCCAAACACCCATTCCAATGAGGAATCTTAAAATCACAATCTTCATTCAAAATTGAAGCCAGCAAATGCAACGGATAGTCTATTTTGACTCAACGGATAGATTATCCAATCCAGCTATAAAATAGCATCCTTGGAAGACTGGGGAAGTAGAGAACAATGACAACAATAAGATAAACAACCACAAAGAGGCTACCTCATTCACAGTTAGCCCAAAAAGCTTGATAAAGAGAGATTTCTAAACTCCTTATCTAGAAGCTCCTCCTTCCAAAGAGCTATAGTGTAAATACTTGAAGGTTTCCTTGCCTCAAGTACCTCACCACGTTGAAGGATACAACTTTTGATCAAACTTACTGATTGAAAGGGGGTAGGTCAACTTTCTTACAAGTTGGTCTTGCAAGTCCTATTGTTCGGACCTTGTAGTTATTGAAGAAGCGTGACCTTCGAAGGAACAACAAAGCCAGCACGAGTGCAGTAGCAACATTGGCCTTGCGAAGATATACCGTGCAGAAATTCACACAAGTGTAATTGTTGGTTCATTATTCAACGACCAACTACATAGTGGATTTTGAGGACGTAGAAGGATTACCCCACCTTCGAACCACGTTAAAGTTTGCGTGTCTCTCTCTTTTATCTTTATTTTTTACTTGCAATTATATTAACTGTGAAAACTAACCCATCCATATTGATTACTGCTCACTCTACCCACCAACTTCCGCACATAATCTAAAGTTCATAAGAACTCTACATTAACACTCATTTTCACGTTTTCAAAAGAAACGAAAAAGTTTTTAAATTTGTAACAAAGTCTATTCCCCCCCCCCTCTAGACTTTGTATCTCACCACTTCGGGACCACCACAATCGATTATCTGGGTTACCGTTGTCCTCCAACGGATAGAATTTTAAATTTTTGGACAAGGAATCTTTTGATAATCGATTATCAAGCTTGGATAATCGACTATCAGCCTGTGTCCCCGAAAAATTTGTCTTCATCCTGTTGGAAACTCTAGCAACGGGTTTATCCCATTTTGGGCTATAAAATGGCACCCAAATCCTCTCATTTTACACACAATTCTTCAACATTTCAATACTCTTTCATTGCATAAGCATTCCCTTGTTGAGCGTTTACTAGTTCACTCATATCTACTCTTTGTGAGAGTTTTATTCCTGAGTGTTTAAGTGTTTTCATACACATTAAGGGAGGTTGTTCCCTTGTTGTAAACTCGAAGGAAGTTCCTTGTTCCTTTGTGAGAAGTCTTGGAGTGCGGTATCTCCGAGCAAAGGTGTTGAGGCTCGTGTGACTTGGGTTCTCAAGTTGTATCGGTTTGTTAAGCACCCTTAAGCTTAACGGAGTTAGTGTAGCTCGAGAGAGTCTCTCGGGGGGGCTGGATTAACCACACGTTGTGGTGAACCAGGATAAAATTCGGTGTGCTCCTTCCTTACGCTCTTTACTTTAACGCTCTCGTTTTTAATTTCCTGCGATTTTGTTTTAAACGCTATTCACCCCCCCTCTAGCGTTGGGCCTTTATTATAACAATTCGCCAATCGGTCACAGTTCTTCCTGGAACTAGCTCTCCCTTCTCATTTTTGGTCACCGTCATCCCGCCCTTTTTTGGAACAACGTGGATTGGTGACACCCACTAGCTATCTTAAATAGGATAAATTATTCCAGCATCCAAGAGTCTAAGCACTTCTTTCTGCACTACTTCCATTAATTTTGGATTTAACCTCCGTTGTGCTTGCACAACTGGTTTAAACCCGTCCTCAATGGCTATTTTATGCGTGCAATAAGCAGGGCTTATCCCTTGAATATCCTCTAGCTTCCAAGCAATTGCTTGCTTGTGCAAACGGAGGACAGCTAGTAACCTCTCCTTTTGATCAGGTGTTAGATCAGAAGCTATGACAACAGGACACTGGCCCTCATAATCGAGATAAGCATACTCGAGATGTGATGGTAAGGGTTTAATCTCTAAGGATTTTGTTTCTTTCGTAGGTTCAGATTGTGTTTTAATTTCACGCACCTCCTCACACTTAGGTTCTTGGAAAGCAATTTCTAGGCTCAGAAGATCTTCTACAGACCCTTTATCTGTTATGACTTTAACTGAGTTACAGAACTCAGCTAGGTCTGGAGTTCGATTCATGACGCTCATTATTTTAAAAGTGACATCTTCATTGCCTACTCTCAAACTTAATTCTCCATCGTGAACATTAATTAATGCCTTTGCGGTCGCAAGGAATGGACGCCCTAGTAATAGTGGCTTCTCCTTATCTTCCTCCATATCCAATACCACAAAATCAGCGGGAAAGATGAACTTATTTACCTTCACAAGCACGTCATCAATCACCCCCCGGGGTAACGAATAGAACTATCTGCTAATTGAAGACATATTTGAGTAGGTTTAAGTCTAGTCAACCCCAATGCTTTCATTATACAGGACGACATTAAATTAATGCTAGCTCCTAAAGTCAGCTAGAGCGTCTCCGAAGGTTCTATCGTTGATGGAGCAAGGGATAATGAAGCATCCAGGATCCTTTCGTTTTCTAGGCATTTCCTCTAGTAACATAGCAGAGCATTCAGCATTTAAGCTGACAACTGGGAATTCCTCCCAATCTCTCTTCTTAGTTACTAGATCTGTTAAGAATTTGCCATATTTGGGCATTTCAGTTAACACATATACCAAAGGCATCTTGACCTCAACTTGGCCAATGACGTCGAGAAACTTTTGGAAAACCTTCTCGTCTTTGCTCTTTTTCACCCTAGTAGGGAAAGGAATAGTGTTTTGCTGAGTTTGCGTGGTTGGTTGGGATTGGCTAGAGGAGGTTCCTTCTTTCCTCGTTTCTTGAGGTGTGGATTCAGTCTTCTTTTCGGGGGTTGCTCCTACAGAAGTATCTACGGGGACTTCTTCTACATTGGCTTTGACTTCTGGGCCTTGAAGCTCTTTACCGCTTCTTAGAGTTATGGCCCGAAGTTGTTCTCTTGGGTTTGGTTCTGTTTTAGCTGGGAGGTTCCCCTGTTCTCTAACTCCAAGTTGTTTAAATACTTGTTGGAGTTGGTTATCACGCGTCTTGTCACGCTCCTTCAAATCATCCGCCAGATTGTTCATCCTCTAAATGTACTCCATCATCATCTTTTCCATTCTTGCCAAGGAATCTTCTTTTGGGGGTTGGCGATTATGAGGTGGAAGGTAGGATGCATTGTTATTTTGGTAATTGCTTTTATTGCTATTCCAATTACCTTTCTTACAATCATCCCTAGGACGATTGTTTCTTGGGAAGTTGTTCCTTTCTCGCCAATGCTCTTGATTGTTCTGGGTCCAAGGCCCTTCCCCTTTATTCGCGTATTGTGCTAGATTAACGTCTTTAGCCTTGCTCGGAGGGGGTGGTTGAATCAAAGGACAAGCGGAAGAAAGATGATTTTGGAAGCAGTGTTCACAAGACAAGACAAGATCGGATTGGTGGTGACTACCGGAACCATAGAGTTCAGCTTGGTTCACTGGTTCAACATACAGATTGGGACGTGGATGGGAAGCTCCTAGGTGCTCCTTGATAGTTTGTTTCACAATGCTCTCCATACTAGCCTTGAGAGTTGTGAATTGGTCTACTTCATACATGCTTGCCTTAGGAGGAGGAGCTCGGTCTTCGTACCAATATTTAGCATTCGATGTGAGTCTTTCTACTAGCTCCTCATTCTCCTCAGGTGTCATCTCCAGAAAAGAACCAAGCTTAGAAGAGTGGTCCAATTCCTTCTTAGATGGTACTGTCAAGCCTTGGTAAAAGTAGAACACTAAACTATCGGAATCAATTAAAGCGGGTGGGCATTTAACCTTCAATTCCTTGAATCTTTCCCATGCTTCGCTCATTGATTCCATAGGTGCTTGACGGAAGTTTTGGATGGAGTTTTTAATTTTCACCATAGCAGAGGGCGAAAAATATTCGTGCATGAATGCCTGGTGCAGCGCCTCCCAGGTCTTGAAGTGACCATTAGGAAATGTGTTTAACCATCTTGCTGCCCGATCCCGAAGTGAGAAGGGAAATAGCGATAGTTTAACATGGTCCATCGATAAGCCGTTAGACTGGAACGTTTGGCAGGTCCTAGAAAACCACAACATGTGCGCCCTTGGATCTTCAGCTTTTGAGCCTCCAAATTGATTATTTGAGACCATTTGGATCATCGCTGGTTTGATTTCAAACGAATGGGCTAGACTAGGGAGGAGACCTATGGGATCTTCCTCGACTTATGCCGGGCTCATGGCTTGAAGGATCGTTCGCCTAGGATTAGCCGCCATCTCTTGTTCTTCTTCCTCCTCTTCTTCTTCTTCCGAGTGTTGGTTCTCTTCCTCGCGATTTGCCTCTTCTTCTTCCTCTTCTCTTCGCTCCTCGTCGTTGAACTCCAGTTGACGAGGGATTTTAATGGTACGATGACGGAGCAAAAGTTCGGGGTTCTTAGTTCTCGGAAGAATATTCTCACCGCAAGAACGAGTGTTCATACAATTTTAAGGGCTAGAGAAAGAATCCTAACAGCTATATAATAATAACAAAAAAATGTGTGTTTTTTTTATATATAATTTTTATGTTTAATATTATTATAATTGTTTTTAGAAAATAAAAGTTAAACTAAGAAAACCATCGAATAAATGGAAATAAAAGTAATAAATTAAACTCGAAAATAAAATGTTATTAATTTTTTTTTATTTTTTTATTTATATAAATATTATTAAAAAGATTTTTTTTATATATGAAAACCGTTTCTATCAACTTTCATTCACGCTAACTAAAAAAAATCTTACTAATAACTTTCTGTGCCAATCCCCGACAACGGCGCCATTTCGTGAAGAATTTTGATTAAACTCAAAATTCCCGTAGTAGTAAAGGGAACAGACTAGATCTTAAAAGGTCAGTTTATTCCGTGTCATCTCAAGGATCGGCCCAAGGGAAAGTTAAGCAAGACTAGCTAGACAAGATTTACTTGGTGAATCGAAAAGTTTTCAAAAAGTCGAAAAGGAATGAAGATTGATTTTAACCTTTCAGGAATAAGAAGTAGGGATGTAACTATTGGTTAGGTGATGGTTCTTTTAAGAGTATAATCATCAGTTACTTTTACCTTAAATCTTTTTACTAGTAAGTAAATACTTTTTCAAATATTTACTTAACAATTAATCCAATGTCTAGAGATTAATGGTCAAAATTACAGGACTTGACTTAATTAAATTCTAGATTTCTCAAGAAATATAATTTTCAAGAATAGATTTGCTTTCTCTCGATTTACAAATCTCAAGTATAAATTCTCAGTAATAAAAACTAGTAATTTGCCTTTGACAATTAAGTATTTCAACTCAATGATTTTACCGAAAAATTACCATCACCATACCAAAAATTACATCCCTAATTAATTTAGCTACTCATAACAAAAGCTTTCAACACACATGCATAATAAGAAGGCATTTTTCAATTGATAAGTAAAAGTAGAAAAACTTACCTTAACAGATCTGAAGAACAGGAGGTCCGGGCTACAATTTGCTCCGAGAAAAACTCCGAAAATGATACTAATCTAAAATATAAGAGTAGCTTTATAAATCTAGGCTAAAAGAATGTAATCTCAGACTTTTTGGGGTGGAAAGGCGCTGTGTAGCGTGTTGAAACGGAGAGGGGGAATGCTGTATTTATAGGGCTGGACGCAAAGCGTCCAACCCATGCCGTCCAGATCCAAAGCGTCCAAAGTTGGACGCCTTCCGCGTCCCGTCCATTCGCTGTCTGCCACGTGTCTTTTGTGATGCACAATCATCTCCAAGCGTCCAAGCCGAAGCGTCCAACCAGCAAAGCGTCCAAGGTTGGACGCTTCGGGCCTTTTCCTGTGGGCTTTTCCGCGGCTTGGTCCAATTCAAGCCCAATTTTCATTTTCAGTTGACTTCATGACTTGTTCCTGCTTCCTCCGATATTCTCATGATGGAATTCTCAATTAAAAAAAATTCTTTTTCTCACAAATATGAGTTGAAAAATCAACAATCAAGACTGGATTAATTTTAAACCAATTATTATTCCTTAAAGAACAAACCAAAGATATTGTTCAGTTTAACATAAAATTATGTACTGCTTGTCACTATTTTCGTGCAACAACGCTTAAATTATGTTGAATAAAATAAGAACAAAATGCACTTATCAATATGGTAGGCATCCATTGGAATCATATCACACCATATCTCGTCGGAATAACTTCGTCCAATGCTAAATGATACCAAACTCCGAGAATCCACACGTAACCCCTTACCATGATTCAACCATTGAATCATGTATGGTTTTGGGTGTGGTGAGCTCTTCAACTTCAGCTTGTCTACCAACGTTTTTGAAGCTACGTGGTACAAATTCCGCTATCCACGATCAAAGTACACACCTTCTTTTGGATAGTACAACGGGTATGGAAGATGTTTCCCCATTGTAGTTGATCATCGAGACTAGTGATACTACTCAAGGTCCTACGAATAACCAAGAGTTTTCTTTCGTCAGCTCCAACGCTGATGAACTCAGGCCCGACCCTTTCAGACCTTTCCCCAAGGCTCACACAATCATGGGAGCCAAAGGACTTATATTCAAACATTATGATCCATTTTAGTTTGAATTCAAAGGTCTAAACCCTGAAAGCTCAAAATGACCGTCGTTTTGACCCGAGGGTTCCGCTGGCCAACCCTTATTCCACCCAACCCAACCCCAAACATCCAAAAGTATTTATTTTCTTTTTGAATATCCAAAATAAAGTTTTCCTACACCTATTATTAGCCCATGGCCAAAAAAAGAGTGTAACCAAAATCTTTTTGTTTGTTGTTATTTTCCTTCTTTTAAGCCTTTTAATAAACAAATAAAACCTTCCCTTTCTTCCTTTCATTCCCTGGCCAAAATACATGATATATTTGGGCTCAGCCTCATCATGGTTTCCCCTATACCCTACACTCTCGGGGGAAGCCGAGGACCTATGTTTAAGCTATATGATCCATTTTGAAGGCCCTTAAACCTATAGGCCTCCTCAATCCCTACAATCCAAAAAACAGCACCAAACCTTAACCATTCTCCCCCTTCTCCTTGTCATCTTGGCCAAACCCATCTTCCCCAAAACCTTACCTCAATCACCCCTCGAGACCAAGTTAAAACACACCCAACAAAACCCCCCTTCATAACCGTTAAGTTGGCTGAAAACAAGAACCCAAAACCAACCCATCTACCCCTTAAAACATCCACCCAACAAGGCCCCCACTATGTCCCCTAAACCAGCCACAAAACATCCATTACTTAACAAAACACACATGGCACAACTTTAACAATTTAACCACCACACCACATGCCAAAACAACACATGCCAATCCCTTCCCCTTGTCCCATGGCCTGGCCAAATACAACCCCCCAAATCAGCGCATCAAAACAACACAAAAACAACCAAAAACCATATTAATTCATGGACCAAATCAACCCCTCTCACTTTCCCACCCCTAGCCGAACACAACACACCAAAAACCAACACTCATTCACTCCCCAACATTCCACAAACCATGGCCCCATCTTTGTCCCCTAATAACCTAATTAAACAACATAATAAAACAAAGGACCATTGACCACTTAACCACCCTATATTCTCCCATNTCCCCAAATAATCAGCCACAACGCACCAAATAACCCAACCATTCTCACTACCCATTGTTCCCCAACTTGGCCAAATGAAGTCACTCCCCAACCACTAAGTATTCACCTCAATATAGAGCCAAATCAAACCCCAAATCAGTCACCCTTTGCCCCCTAATATGGCTGAACTAGCCCAGCTTATATATCTAGGCTCGGGGTGTGTGGGTATTAAGCTCGAAAGTATGGAACAAGCTTTTTATTTTGAAGGATGGGTGGATAATCGATTGTCCAAGTGGGAGAATCGATTGTCAGGTGATTCAGTTTCTTAGGAGAATTCTTCAAGACTTCAGGAGGGGCTGATAGTCGACTGACAGAAGGTGACAATCGATTGTTAGAGAGTGCAGGATTTCTGGGGGAAGTGATAATCGATTGTCTTGAAAGGATAATCGACTATAATGGGTTGCAGGTGTTTCTCAGAAGGTTGTTAGTCGAGTACCAGCTTATGATAATCGACTACTGGACGGAAATCTGGGTAGGAAGAAGGATGTTTTGTGTGGGGGAATGGCTGGAAAAGTATGGAGATGATGAAGGAGTTCTTTTGGGTCTTTTTAATGGAAGAAAAGAGTAAGATTAAGAGGATAAATGGGGAGGTATGAAATGGAAGAAAATCAGGGATGGATAAACCAAGTTGGTGTTTAAGAGATATTACACACTCTTATCCTAACTCGGGGTTTGAATCTAGAATTTAATTAAGATATGACACACTTAATCAAATATCTAGAACCTAAAACTCACACTTAAGATAACTACTCTTAAGATATAGAATAAGGAATTTGGCTAAAATAGCATCACACTATTAATGTTCAAAGGTGTGTGCTACAATGGCCATATGGCCTGATAATATAGGCAGGGGAAGAGGGAAAACATACACTATACATTGAATGTGAATATGAGAAAGCTTCCTAGCAACATCCACTTCAAAAGCATGGGGCATTCTCCATTCAATGTTGTATCCTTAGTGGGATAAAATTCAGGGATGGGGCTGGGGTTGTGGGGGTTTTGAGCTTTGGTTTGTAGTGGTTGTTTCCTAGGTTTTAAGGCTATTATTTGGGTAAAAATGAGGGGTTGTTTTTGGCCAATAAAAGGGGACATGGCTGGGTAATATTTATGGGTGTTTTGGAGTTATGGCTTTGGGTTATTGTGAGGGAAACATGGGCACGAAGTAGGGGCTAGAGGTGGGTCATGGTTTTGGCTCTTTGTGGGTGTTGTGTTGGGATTGGAAGGTTTATTTGGGCATGGAATGAAAGGAAGGAAGAGAGGGTTTTATTGGTTTATTAAAGGGCTTAAAAGAAGGAAAATAACAACACACAAAAAGGTTTTGGTTTACACACTCTTATTTTCGGCCATGGCTAAAATAAGAGTAACAAAAACTT